TCAGGTCTGTCTGAGCAGCAGCGGGCGTCCCTGCAGATGCCACGCCAACAACACTGGCACCAATGCCACCCCCAGCAGCACTCGTCAAGCATCTGTGTAACGCAGTTACACTACAAAGCAGCTCTGCTATATGGTCCACAACATTTTGGTTAATTATACTCCTAAAAATAACCGACAGTGAAACAAAAGCCAGCTGAGAACTCCATCCATTTGGGGAAAGACGTGGTGCCCCAGCCATAGGCCCAAGGACCACCTCCCAACATTGAGAAGCCCGCCAAAATGTTTGCAAGACTCTGCTGGTCAGGCGGTCACGTTTCCTTACCAGCTTTTCCTAACCTTGCTCTTTTAAAACCTTCTTTTCATCTCTAAATCCTCCTCCCAAGTCAGCCACAGCCAGCTTCCCGCAGAGTCGTGCAAAACTGTCCACAACAACACACACCTACTGGAAGCCAATCAAGCGTGGCAGAAGAAAACGTGCCATCCTCAAACGTTCAGTCTGAACAGACAGCCTTGCCATGCTGCCGCTTTCAGACGGTGCCACCGCCACGTCTCTGGAGGCACACCGAAGGGTGCACTGGTGCCCAGCAGGACAGCCCTGCCAGGAGGCACGTCGACTATAAATATTCCGTGGTTTCCTAATGAGCGATAACACGCCAAGCGTCGCGGGCTGACAGTGACCACAGAAAGACAACCTGGGAACTGCGGGAAGGGCATCCGCCGGAAACCAGTGCTCCAGGGAGCAGCGCACAGGGTGGTGCCATGTACGACGCTGCCCCCGGGGAAGACATGCAGCATTACGAAGCTGCAGGTAATAAAGTCTCAGAAAATGATGAGAACCACAGCCGAGGCAAAGACGGTAGCAGTTAACCTCTCAGGGCTTACCTGGAACTCAAAACAACGCAGGTCCATCTAAGGAGGAGGCGTTAGAAGGGAGCCCCTCCCTCAGGCTGTGAGCTCTGTGTGGAAACCTCTGAGGAGGGCGAAGTAAAGTGACAGCAGCTCAGTCCCGTGGCAGACGCGGAAGGAAGGCCAGGGAGCAAGCAGCAAAGGAAAAGGAGGAATTTCAAACACAGAGCAATGAGCACTGGGTGAGTGATGTACTTCCAAAGCTTCTTTCTTGGTGTATTTGGTTTTTTCTGACATTTTATCCTGGTTCCACATACTTCCATGTATCTGAATGCTGGGTAAACCAAGTATTTTCTTCTAATCTGTATGTGTTTACACGAGGTAGAGAGAGACTGGGAGCTAGAGAGTAAGCGAGCGCACAGGTGCACTCCCCGCCCTCGATGGCTCACTCTGCAAGACGACAAGGGCCAGGGCTGAGGCAGGCTGGGGCTGTGAGCGGGGAACCCAAGCCAGGTCCCCGCGAGGTAATGGCAACTCCGTTACTCAAACATCTCCACTGCCTGCCAGAGATGGGGCATGCAGATAACTCAACCACTCCACCAAGAACCCTTACACACTTCCTTCATCAACAACAACAACATCCAAAAACAATAGAAGAGAGGCGTCTCATTAACAAAGAACTTCCCCAAAAGCTTTGCAACTGTGTACCAAAATTGTAGCTTCATGGAAAAGCCACCTAATTCTTGGCTTTCCTACTATCCACTTTTATCTGCAATAATTTCTAACACTTACACTATAAGAAGGGCTTAACACACTGTCTCAGTCAATCCCCAGGACAGCCTTGAAATGGGCACAGGAATTCCACAACAATCCAAAGTGGCAAGATGACAAAGCTAGCTCGAGCCCCACACTTACATCGAGCTTGTATCCCATACTTAACCTCACACTTGGCGTATCAGAAGAGGTGCTTTCTGTTCGAGTTCTCCTACCTTAGACCCCCATGCCCTTGCTATTTTAAAGGTGACTTTTGGAATTAATCACCATAATGGTTTAGCAGACTACAACCGTTGGTGCCATACTGGCCTGGCTGTAAGTCACAGGGCAGATGAAGGGGCAGGCGCTGCACTGGGTAAAAGCACGCACTGGCTTCATCTGCCAACGTCAGGCAGAGAGAACTCACTCAGAGCCCTGCTGACACAGAAAGCCAGACCGAGAACAAGCTGCAATTCATCAAAGCAGAACAAGGGAGAATTTACATCAATGCTAAGAAGGGCTTTGCATTTTTAGGGCAACTAGCTCACCCTGGTGGACAGAAAACTCAACTACGCAAGCACCTGTTCTCCTCCATGACCTCATTCAAATACTGAGGAAAACTTGAGAAAATTGATCCAGAGCTACTGATATCCTTGATGCTTCAAGATTGGGCAAACTTTCTGAGCAGACATGCATGGCACATACACAGTTAACCTTTTAAACTGTTTAGTGATACTGGCCTGAAAATGTGTTTCTATAAAACATGAAAAGCTCCTAAAGAGAACTATAAAACCCAATTTGTTAGTTCATAGATAACTAAACAGGTGTATCAGAAGTCATTATTAATGAGGTAGCTAATCCTCTACTTTCTAAAAGACGGCAGTAGCAATTTTTAAATCTGGTGGAAATCAAGTAAACTCTAATAAAACGTGCTTCCTACAATATTCACGCGCTCTGCAAATAGCTGCAGAGTGCCTATTGTATTATATAACAGGCTGCCGCACTGCCCCGCACAGAGCTGGGATGCAGCAGTGACCCTGAGTGGACACAGAAGGCCACAGCAGAAAACTGTCAACAATTCAAACGTCCACCAGCGGCAGTAAACAGTCGAAGGCCCACCCATTCTGACAACATACAACAGGTTTCTAGGCAGCCACGACAGAAAGCTTCCGCTGGACGCACAAGTGCAGACGCGAAAGCTCAGCCATGTACAATGTAAACTGCAAACAGCAAGGTAAGAACAGAGAGGAACGCTAGCTTGGTGGCGTACAAACGCCAGCTTCCCCTGTGAGTACCGCTCTGAGTGCTGGCTGCTGCGCTCCTAGTTCCCTGTCTACGTGCCTGAGAAAGCAGCAGGAGATGGCCCAAGTGCTTGGGCCCCTGCCACCCCACATCACAGACCCAAATAGAGCTGCATGCCAGACCAACCCCAGGCGCACTGCAGCCATCTGAGGAATGAGCCAGTAGATGGAAGATCTCCATCTCTTTTTCTCTTAGCATCTCTCTCTCTCCATCTGTCTCCTCCCCTTCAAATAAATAAATGAATCTTAAAAAAAGAGAGAGAGCATATGTGAGTCGCATTAAAGTGCCTACATGTGGGGATATGTTAACACTTGTTACTTTTAGAAAAGGGATGGGAAGTTTCTATATTCCATTCAATAAACTTTAGAAGGTACAGGTATATGTGAATTTCACTTACACATGAAAGTTATTTTTAGTATATAAATAAAAACCAAATAAGTATGGGGCCCGGCGCGGTGGCGCATGTGGTTAAAGGTCCTCGCCTTGCACGCCCGGGATCCCATATGGGCGCCGGTTCTAATCCCGGCAGCCCCGCTTCCCTTCCAGCTCCCTGCCTGTGGCCTGGGAAAGCAGTCGAGGACGGCCCAAGGCTTTGGGACCCTGCACCCGCGCAGGAGACCCGGAAGAGGCTCCTGGCTTCGGATCGGCATAGTATCGGCCCGTTGCGCTCACTTGGGGAGTGAATCATCGGACGGAAGATCTTCCTCTCTGTCTCTCCTCTCTGTATATCCGCCTTTCCAATGAAAAAATAATAAAAATAAATCTTTAAAAAAAAAAACCAAATAAGTATGATAGAAAACTTGAACTTCTATTGCTGATGTACTTAAAACTATCATATTCATATTTTTGTTAAAAATTTATTTTTATTGGAAAGGCAGATCAGAGTACAGAGAGAAGGAGAGACAGAGAGAAAGATCTTCCATCTGCTGCCTCACTCCCCAAATGGCTGCCAGCAGCCAGAGCTGATCTGATCAAAAGCCAGGAGCTTCTGGGTCTCCCATGTGGTTGCAGGGTCCCGAGGCTTTAAGCCAACTGCTATTGCTTTTCCAGGTCACAAACAGAGAACTGGACAGGAAATGGAACAGCCTGGACACAAACCAGTGCCAATATGGGATCCCAGCACATGCAGGAGGAAGATTAGGCAATTGAGTCATCGTGCTAGGCCTCGAAACTGTCATATTCTACTGTACAGACTTAATACACCAGCCTCACACATGGATGCTAACAATACATCTAAGGACGGACCTGGGGGTGACAAGTAACTTGGTGTTTCACGCGGCTCAGCTTAGGCAGCCAGCCACCTGCCCTCTGTAGGCTCAGATATGTGGAAAGACCTCATGTGAAGCCACATGAGCAGACACTGCGGGACATGACCTGAGTGTCCTTGTACGACTCCTAGTGCCCAATCTCCTGATAGAAGGATGGCCCAGATTATTCAAAAAACTACAAGTGGTCCTCTGTGGGACCATCCCTAAAATAAGTAAAAGAGATAAACTTTAAAAAGGATTCCTGATTCAGGCCCAGTACAGTATCCTAGAGGCTAAAGTCCTATGCCTTACATGCACCAGGATCCCATTTGGGTGCTGGTTCATTTCCCAGCTGCTCTACTTCCCATCTAGCTCCTTGCTTGTGACCTGGGAAAGCAGGCAAACACAGCCTAAAGCCTTGGGACCCTGCACCCGTGTGGGAGACCTGGAGGAAGCTCTGGGCTCCTGGCTTCGGATAAGCTCAGCTCCAGCCGTTGCAGCTACTTGGGAAAAGTGAATCAATGGACGCACGATCTTCCTCTCTGTCTCTCCTCCTCTGTTTATCTGACTTTCTAATAAAAATAAATAAATCTAAGGGAAAAAAAAACATTTTAAAAAAAAGGATTCCTATGATTCTCAAAGAAATTGAACTTCAAAAGATTTTTCCAACGCACGTCTAATAAGGGAGTGGCATTTTCCAGTCAGGGTTGAAGATTTCATTTCCAAAATTAGCAATCCAAAATTGCGTTTGCTCGTTATGAGGCAATTATAATTACATGCTCCATAATAAGGAAGGTGGTACACCATAAGACTTTAAAATTAAACAAATGAACATACTTCCGACTGCCTTACCTAACATGGCATGCAGTTCTTGATCCTGGCTTGTTCCCGAAGAGGCCATCATTTTTGAATATGCTTCAGTCCACCAAGGCTTATACTTCAAAATCTGCTTAATCTCCTCGTCTTCAAAATAGTCGGCCCTGGGAAAGCACAGTGGACAGGCTGGTTACACAGCTGAGGCTCGTCTGCATTTCCTACAGTCCTCTCCAGACTCCCTGGGCTTGCACTGGCAACGCAGAGGGTTAATGCAAAGTGCACCTCCAGCACGGCCTGCTTTTCTTGCCTTGTGGTTCCTAATCACATAAAAACGAAAAGCCAGCCTCTGACCAAAGAGATGGTTGACATTTCTTTCTTCTTCTTCTCCTGTTTTATTCTTAGTTTCAATGATATAATTTCATAGGCTCTGGGATTTCCCTTACACCCTCCTCAAATTCCCTGCCCCCCCCAACTCTTTTCCCCCATATTATTACAATAGGATAGTCTTTCATATGCAGTCGCAAGTCCATCATTTTGTTATTTAAGTGTGTCCTGACATGGCGGGTACAGACAATGGCAGGCAGTCCAGCATCCTATTGTCAAGATATATACAACAGTTTCACTGGGAGTCCATCCTTGGTTTGGAAGTAGAGATGTATACTGCTTTGTATCTTCACATCTCGATATGATACTCTCTGTTACACAGTTACTATACAATCTATGAGTCAGTGAAGAATTTAGTAAGAGAAAAACTATGTATGTTGAAAAAAATGAAAATTAAAAGAGAAATATCAAAGCCCATGAATTGCGGCAAAAACAGTACTGAAAGGGCTATTGATCTTACAACTTGCACAAGGCTGACATTTCTGATCTCTTCAAAGAGAAGACGGAAAGGACCAGTCCCACCCTACAGGTCCACCCTGTACAGCAGTGTGAAAGGCAACCTGAACACACTGGGCTGAAACTTGGCACGGGTGCCAGCTGTGTGTATGCCAGAGTCTGGTAAGGTTGTAAGAAAGCAAAGATATTTTCAACTCTAAAAACAAACAGGAAAATCACAAAAAGCTGTGAGCAAGGGCTACACACATGCACTAGTATTTTCTACCACAGTGTAATCTCCTACTATGTATGCTAATAGTAACTGTCCTGTCCTGTACTATCACAAAAGGTAACTGTAATCATTGCAAAGGGGAAGGGGAACAACTTCCTCCTGCATTCTACTTCCTCAGTTTTAACTAGAACAGTAACAGCTACATTCAAAATGCACCTGTCATTTTTAGAGGACACTTCCGTGCCCACAGGGCCCAGCACACCACCGTAGCAGGCTTCTGGGGAATGAAACAGGTTAGAGTTCTCTCTCTCTCTCACATTCTTAACAGATAAATATCTCTAAGAGAAGTTCGCTGCCTTGCATCCAAATTCGGAATTTGATATTCCCGGGGAAAGCAAGGCAGGTCAGAACGGTTAACACCTTCATTTTGCCAGGATGGAAATTCAGGCTAGGAAAAGTTGTGTTAGCTAGGCTACCTCAGGGAACCAGTGAGGAACTAAAAGTACATACTGGACAGAAGTGAACAGCTAACATCCTGAAATAAGAGTTCTCAATCAGTGTTTGTCAGGTGCACAAGGCATATGACACCAGAATGAACAAGTTGCTTTATACACTATTCCGAAATCTGTTTCCTTATAAGCTGTTATCTTCCTGCTTACAGGAAAACTCTTTAGAATGGAGGTTCTTCTACCTACTCATCTACAAACCAAAAACATAAGCTTTTTCTAGTCAATGAATTTCAAAAAGGACACACAGGAAGAGCATGTGCAGGTGTGGGTGCTGTGGAGCAGTGGGCCAGGCTGCCACCAGGGATGCTCACATCCCACATCAGCGTGGACCATTCAAGTCCTGCCATGCTTCTGGTCCAGCTTCTGCAGGTTCATGGGCGGAGGGGGGTGGAAGGGGGCAGCAGATGACGGCCCAAGTACCCAAGTACTTGAGTCTCTGCACCCGTATGGGACATGCAAGTGGAGTTCTTAGATCTTGGCTCTAGACTGGCTAGCCCTGGCTGCTGCAGGCTTTTGGAAGCTGAATCAGTGGATGGACTACAGATCTCTCTCTCTTTCTCTCTCTTTCTGCCTTTCCAGCAAATGAATAAATCTCTTTTAAAAAGAAGAAAGAAAAAAAGAGGAAACACAGTTAACTAGATCATTCAGTCAACATGCTGTATTAACTTTCTGCCATGTTCCAGGTTCCATGGCAGGCACTGGAGTTCCACTGCTGACAAGACATAATCCCAACCTTTGTGGAACTTGCAGTCCCACAGGAGAACAACGCAATTATGATACAGCATACTGCTAGGACACAACAGCACAACAGTTTGTGGCAAAATAAAACTGGGAGCACGGTGAAGGGCCCTGTAGGAAATAGCATTCTAAGCCAACTGTTGAATGGTAATTAACAACTAAGCAGATTAGGGATACCGTGGAGTAACAAAGCAGTTGGCAAAGGCGAAGAAAACAAACACACACAGAGAGAAAGAAAGAACAAGGAGGAAAAGCTGCAACATTACAGTGTTGGGGCGGAACCCAAAAGCCACGTTCAGAAGTCAGGAGAAGGTTTATCCCTAGGAATGCCTTAATACCTCATACAGGAAGGATACCAACATGTCTTGGAATGACTTAAAGGGACAAACCTCAAGCAGCAGAAATACTGACGACCCAGAACAGGATACTGGTCATGCACTTGCAGCAAAGTGGAATGGGATCACCTACTTGGAGAAGCTGAGAGCCGACAGGGGACAGACTGGGGAGCCCACGTGCTGCCCAGCAAGTTAGGGAACAGTGCCCTTCATGGAAACCGAGACATGAGAGCGAGGAGAGAGGGACTTGTGTTTGGACAGGTGGAGTGTAAGGTGCCCTCTAGGACGCAGAAACACATCGGCCGAGTACTTGGTGATCATGAGGAGGTCTCTGACTCCTGCCACTGGCACTCTGGTGGAGGAGGGAGCAAGCAGATGACAAGCAGATGAAAGGCTCAGCTAGCGACCGGATCCTACTGATGCCTGTATGTCAGCATGTACAGCGGCACATGCTGACATACAGGCATCAAATGCCTGCGTTTTCTAATTTGGTCATGAGGCTTATTTCCCATCCTAGCCATGCAGGTTAGAAAGCTAGAATTCACCTTGGATGGCCTCCTGTGCCACACACTGTCAACCCTGAAGCTGTGTCATTCATCTCCACACTGCTTCGTTGTTCCACCTCGTTCTGGCTCTCATCTGAGTCTGGCTTACCACAACACACACTCAATTGCCTAAAATGCATCTCTTCCTCCATTCTGGACTTTTTTCAACTCCATCAACCATAAAACAAACACGTTTTAATTACTGCTCATTGTCTGTATCTGCTTAATAAACCCAAAGTTTGATCAGAATACTATCGTCCTTATATTTGGAATAATTTTACTACAATTTAAATGGCACTGTAAATGCTACATGTCATCTCTTCTCTTACTTCACAGATGTTTAACCCAAATTCTTCTAATGCTTTCTCCTGAATAAAGAAATAGGTAAAAGTTTGTGAACTGGTTGAGGTAAAACATACACTGATAATTTAAAAGCAATTTGTGAAGGAAAAAAACCAACACTCTAGCCACCAGAAATATGCAAAAGAAGAATTAAGGAATGCTTCAAGATCATTAACATATTTCAGTACAAAACTGATATCCAAAAGGAATTATTCATGGCAAGCAATTATAGGTGGGCAGAGCTGGGCCAGGCTGAAGCCAGGAGGCAGGAGCTTCATCTGGGTCTCCTACGCAGGTGGCAGGGGCCACCTTCTGCTTCTCCCAGGACATCAGCAGGGAACTGGAGTAGCTGGGACACGAACTAACACTCTATGGGGTATCAGCATCCCCATGGTGGCTTTACACACTACACCACAATGCTAGCCCTAGAAAAATCAATCTTTTAAAAACACAAAAATCAGTGTTTAATATAGCATCTATTATATACTCAGTGCTATGCTACAAAACACACCAAACAAAATAACACAGATCACACCAAACTGACAAGCAGATTTCACAACAAAGGATTTTTTAGTTACCATAATAATTCATTTATATATGCCTTTAAGCTGTTCAAGTTCTTTTTTTTTTTTAACACTCAACTGGTTACTTAGAATTAAATAAAAAGTAATTTTTCTCAAGCCCACAACAAAACTAACACAAGGGCACTTCATGACTTCTAGGGGCAAGTCAAACAACTTGAAAGGAGGCAATGTCTTACATTAATGTAATACATGCCATGAATGACTTACGTATAATATCACACTAGTGCAATATATGTTAAAATTATGATCTGTATGATGAATAATGAAAAATTTTAAAATGCGTTTTTTCTCCACTGTATTCATCACTAATAAAAACAAAATACAGCAATGAGCTAAAAAGAAATTTTAACCGAAAATCTGCAATACCTGTATTTGCACTTCATCTAATATCAATACACATTTGAGTGCGCCAGTCAGCTGATACAATGAGTAAAACACAAATTACAACTAGCCAGTCTCACTGCCATTAGAAAAGTCACAAAGAATCTACACCACTTGATTCCCAACATCCAAACTTAGTTCACTCCTATAAGAACTATTATTTAAGATACCAAAAGAACATTTCATGCATACTTTTACAAATCATGAGAGCCTTGACAAAGAAATACTGAAGATGGAGAAAAATAAAGGCTCCTTATAATGTCCCACTATCAACCATTAATTTCATTTTCCTAATTCTTCTGGGCCATAGTTTCTTTTATTTTTCATTTTGAGAGAAAAGAGATAGGCAGTTCCGCTAATTAGCTCCCTCTCACTTGAAATTTCATCCTTGCAAAGCTCATCCTGTTTTCATGCCAGCCCCAGAAATCTGCTGATGATGAAATTTCCACTTGACATATTTTAGCATGACTTGAAATGGCTTTCTGCAAATGGCTCTTCCGTGGCCCTTTAATGCCACTAGTGGAGACAAAGGCAATCAGAAATGGCCATGTAAATGGAGCCCAATCTCTCGGTTTCCCTCAGGATGCTGAACCCATTCAGCCATTTATCATGACACATCACTCATCCCATTTGCACATCACAAGACATATTTCTGCCGTTCCAATTAGTACCCTACTGTGTCACAGGAGATAGAATGTTAATCACAAGAGCAAGGGCAGCTAAACTGGAATTGTGAACATAAAAAGGAAAATACAAAATCACAAGAGCGGTCTCTCTTCAAGTCCTGGCCGAGCCACTCCATAATGGTGGCCAAGGGACCTTGGGCAAGTCCCTTAACCTTTCTTCATATGTTGTGAAAGCTGAATTTTAAAAAATCATATGCATGTGCCTGATAAGCTAATGGCAATATGCAAGCATAAAGGGACATGATTGTTATATTTGCATTAACACTTTACAGAGTGATGGCACAGGGCTTGGGAAGAGTCATAACTGAAGTCTACAATAACACAGGACACCCATTCTCTACACATTTGGAGAGGCAAGAATCCAGGGGCCACAAAAATAATAATAATAATAATAATGACAGACTCGGGGCACTGTCAGATAAGCGACCACCTGTGACGCTGGCATATCACAGTGCTAGCTTGAATTCCGGCTCCCTGGGAAAGCAACAGAAGATGGCTCAAGTGCTTGGTTCCCTGCCACTCACATTGAGAGCCAGATGGAGTTCCAGGCTCCTGGCTTGAATCTGGCCTAGTCCTGGCTATTGCAGCTGTTCGGAGAGTGAACCAGTGGATGAGAAATCCATCTCTCTCTCTCTTAGTAACTGCTCCCTCATTCTCTGTAACTCCATCATTAAAATACATACATCCTTTCTTCTAGATTTATTTTTTTTTTATTGAAAAGGCATTGATCACTTCCCAAGTGGCTGCAACGGCCAGAGCAGAGCCAATCCGAAGCTAGGAACCCAGAGCCTCCTCGGGATCTCCCACACGGGTACAGGGTCCGAAGGCTTTACACCATTCTCCACTGCTTTCCCAGGTCACAAGCAGGGACCCAGATGGGAAGTGGGGCCACTAGGATTAGAACCAATGCCCATATGGGATCCTGGCATATAAGGCAAAGACTTTAGCTGCTAGGCTACCATGTTGGACCCAATAAATCCTTTTTTTTTTTAAATAAAAACACATTTTAAAAATCCAGAGGCCAGGTGACATGACTTGGGAGAAGAACTGCTACGCTGGCCAGTCTTTCCTCAGGCAATCATTATCAGCTAAACAGATATGGTCCTGATGTGAATTTAATCTTAGGGAGAAGTAACATGGCTAAAAATGCTGCAAAACTTTAAATTCAGATAACAAAGAATAACTATTTGTCCATCTGAAACAGATGCCTGATTACAGTGCAAGCGAACAAAGTGTTAGGAACATCTTGGATGACCGCCCTGCACCATGAAAATGCAAGGACATGCAGATTCAAACTCATAAAGAAATCCAGGCACACTTTCACTGACGCACACCTGCAGTTACAACACAAAGTTTACTTCAAAGACATACAAGTACTCTCGTGCATGCAGTGTGCTGTGTTAAGCCTGCCTGGAAAAGAAACACGAAACACGATTCTAGAAGAGTGCTCTTCTGTTGCTCAAACAATCCAGGAGCGTTTGACAAAGACTGTAAAGGTACAAAATTTGGCTGTTAAGTTCAAATGTTAATTAAGCTTTTGGGCCAGCACAAGGTTACAGGATCCAAAACATACATGCCTACCATTGCTACAAAAAAAAAAAAAAAGACACTCAAGCTTTTAAAATAAATGTCAAGTGACTTCCTGAATCCTCAAAGACTCAGTACTCACAGATAATGATCGGGATCAAACTTGGCCAGCTCAGCAGCCAGGCGCTTCTGTCTTCGTTCAGCTGCAGGAGTAAAATCTGGATCCTTAATATCAATCACATCACTCAATTCATCCTAAGAACACCCAGAGAAGAGAGAAATAATTGCTATCTCCTATTTTTAGCACTTCAAAATCACGTTTTACACAAAATACCAAAGCAGGCGAAGAATCTAGCTGATGAGCAGACTCACAGCAACTACAACATTTAGATTTCATTCCAGCACACAGCTGTTGAACACCTTCCACAGGCCAGGCCCTGCTGGGATCTTCCACAGAAATTATCTCATTTAATCCTTACAGCAAACAAACTCATTAACATACGTTAAGGCTACAGAAGTGAACTCAAAAAACAAGATGGAATGAAGCCATTCTTGCAAACTCGAACATGTTCCATCCATTTCTTCCTTTAGACCCAAATCGACTGGATCAACTGGTCTCAAAGAATTACTATGAAGATCATACATACAGAATTGTACATTCTACTTTCTGAGCAGATTTAAGAATTTTTAGGAGCAATTCTGATGAAGATGACTTAACAGAACACTTTAAAACCTAATCCTAAGTAAGAATCAATTTCACTGTAATCATCTTCTAAAATTAAACATATACATATATACATAAACTTATATATATAAACTTATTGAAAGGAAGAATAACAGAGAAACAGATCTTCCATCCCCTACATGGATACAATAGCTAGGACGGAGCCAGGCTGGGCCAGACTGAAGCAGACGTACACCTCCATCCAAGTCTCCCACAGAGCGGGAGGAACTCAAGCACTGAAGTTACCATTGTGTTGCTTCGCAGGTGCACTAGCAGAGAGCTGGACCAGAAGCGGAGCAGCCAGACTCAGACTGGTACTCCGATATGCGATGCTAGCACCTCCCATGGTGGCTTACCATTATGCACCACCACACCTGCCCCAACAGCAATTTCTGTATATAGAGAGAGATAACACAGTTCCCTAAGCCAAATCCTACAAAACAGATGTACAACAGGCAAACTTCCCAGGACACCAAATTGTCTTTATTCTGCTGGTTAGAGCTGGGAAGCAAAGAAAGTTTAGACAATGCAAAACATCCCTAAGATGGAGCCTTTTTTTCTTCCCTTGAACCCCAACCTCCACCAACCAACCACAATCCAGTTAGTTGAGGTAATACCAACAATATTTACTCCAACTACATTCTAACACAAAAAGTCCAGAGACCTTTTTGGAAGTCACTGGAATCTTCAAAACATCCTAGTAATTCCAGGTCCAAGCATTCTGGCCAAAGACCAAACTACTCATTGTCTCTAATACAAAAACCTCCACCCTAAGGCTTCACTTGTTTATGTCTTGGAGAGTTAGAATGCAGACACACCATTGTAAAGAGGCGTTGGGGTCTCAGGGCCGCCTTCCAGTTGGTGTAAAGACAGTGCTCACGACACCAAGGCTTCCTAGCACCTGCGGCAATGTCTCCATGCCAAAGACTTGCAGGGGTCTGGAACTGAATCCACTGAATCCTCCTCTCCTCCTCCACTTCCTCACCTGCCTGCAGGTAGCTCCGCTAGTCACAGGACTGGCAAAGCAGCACTGTAAAGTGTCTGTAGAAGTTTAGCTAACCGAATGCTGCAAGAGCCACTGCCAGCCTTCACGCTCCCAGCGGGCTCAACTACCCCAGCCATCTACTCCCCAACCTTCCATTTCTGTAACCCATGCACCCAGTCCCAGCAATGAGCCTCTGCCTTCACAGCAGCCTTCTCGTCACTGAGAACCTGGCCTATGCCACCTTCTCAGGCAGTCTACTTGGGACAGGCACTAGACCTAGCGGCTAAGGTGCTGGTCTCCATACAGCATCTCAGACTGCAGTGGCTAGGTGTGGTCCCCAGAGAAGGCACCTGACTCCAGCTGATGCAGACCCCGGGAAGCAGTGCTAATGGCTCGACTGGCTGAGTGGGAGAACTCACTCGCATTTTCAACTCCTGGTTTTGTCTCTGCTTCCAGTCCCAGCCACTGTGAGCACGTGGGAAGTGAACCAGCCAATGGGGTTTCTCCCTTTCTCACTCTTGCTGCCCCCAAAACAATTAGTACCTCTTAAAGGGGAATGGCCATCTCTGGACATCCCAGGCAAAATAGCGCCCCCCTGTTCCAGTCTCTGCATCACACCCCGTTTGCTTTTACTGCTACCAGCTGTTGTTATCCCCCTGACTTGCTGTTTGCACAACTGCTTCCATGAGAATGTTCCATGAGACACAGATCTCACCTGTCTTTTCTGCCACTGTGTCCTCAGCCTTGTGCCTGGCATTCAGCATTCACTGATTCAGCAGTTGGTGCCTGAAGGCCCTCGATGGAGTGGAGTTCGGGTCACGTACATACAAAGCCCTTGCTCTCACAGGAGTGAGAATTCACCAGAAAAAAGCAGCGCCCCTGTGCCTGGCTCACGCATCTTCTCCCAGCCTCCAGACTCAGGGCCTACATACACAGCCATGCAACATGTACACAGCAGAAGGTGACTGCTCCAGCAGGGCAAGCCCTGCCCAGGCTTGTGCATATATATATATATATATATATATCTGAAAGGTACAGTGGCACACGCAGAGAGAAAAAGAGATAGTTTCTATCTACTGGCTTCCTCCCTAAATGGTCACAACAGTCAGGGCTGGGCCAGGCTGAAGGCAGGAACTTCACTGAGGTTTCCCACATGGGTGACAGGGCCCAAGGACTTGAAGTCATTTCCCACCGCCCTCCTAGGGACCTACACAGGGAACTGGATCAGAAGCAGAGCAGCAGGGACTCAAACCAGCACTCCAATATGGTTTGCTGGCATCCCAAGTAATGACCTAACTCCCTGTGCCACAGTGCCTGCCTCCTTAATTGGTTACACACGCACACAGAGAAACTGAAACAAACTTAAAAGCCAGGTTTGTTTGGAGTTTACAAGCCTAAGACACTAACCAGCCAACAGAAGGGAAGAAAGGAGAATGAGAAATGTTACACCACAGGAGGGAGACAAGGATTCCTCTGTGAAGAACTGCCCTGGCTGCAAGCTACAAGTGCTGTCTAAAAAACAGACACTGCCAAGAAAGGGCCTTGGAGGAGTTCCACAAGGCTTTGACCCAGAAAACTTGGAGGCAATGCCAAGAGCAAATGCAGAACTCTGCGCACATCTGGCGGGGAGCGGGGAGTTTCAAGGGGCCTGGACTCCATGGCCTTGGGTATCCAGGGCAACCAAGAGGAAGGCAAGTGCCAGCAAGCCTGGCATCCTCCTGCTGCTGGCAGCGGCCGCCCGGGAGCTGGCTGGGTGGGCATCCAGAGACTCCCGAGCTGTTACGGCTGGCAGCTGCTGGGCAGCGCTGACATCGAGCCTCCAAAGGCACCCAAGTGGCTGGAAGCAATGTCAGAAAGGAGCAAGGCAGGTAGGGGACATAGGGGAGACCGGGGAGCAATGATGAAGAACATGTTCCTGTGAAAACATTTCAAACCCGATTAAAAAGACTGTGCACGACGGCCTGTAAAAGTTTAAATCAGTCAATGCAGAGGAGATGCCTGGGTGTTGCGGTGATAAAAGATTTCCTGCTTTATTCTTTATAGTCTATCTTTTTTTAAAATTTATTTATTTATTTATTTGAAAGTCACATATACAGAGAGGAAGATCTTCCATCTGCAGATTCACTCAAGTGTCCACAACAGCTAGAGCTGAGCCAATCGAGCCAATCAAAATCCAGGAGCCAGGAGTTTTCTCTGGGTCTCCCACATGGGCACAGGATCCTAATGGCTTTGGGTCATCCTCCACTACTTTCCCAGGCTACAATCAGGGAGCTGGATGGGAAGCAGGGCTGCCAGGATTAGAACCAGTGCCCACATGGAGTTTAGAACCCTGTACTACTAGTGGGTTGAATTTACATGCTAAGCCTACTAGGAGGGAAAATGCAAGCCAACTGTCAGGAATCCAGCTAAATGCTTGAGGATGATAAACATGAAACTTAGCAACTCCTTTACTTTCAACTGCGGAGTGGCTACCAAGATATCTAATATATGAGCTAACAAACCCAACATGATTTCCATTCCATAATAAAACTTCTGCTTTAAATCAACCTAAATTATTTTGTTAAAGTATTATTATTTATTATTTACTTTGAAAAGCAGAGTGACAGAGAAGGGAAGACACAGAGCGAATGCCCATCTGCTGGTTCACTTTTCAAACAGTCACGAGCCAAGCCAGGAGTCTGTAACATGGCCTGGACCTCCCACATGGCAGCGCGGGTCCGAGCATTAGGCCACTCTGATGCCATCTCAGGTGTATTAGTAGGGAGCTGCATTAGAAGTAGACTGGCACTGCAAATAAGGAATGCTTAACCCGCTGTATCACAATGTCAGCCACCCTCAAAATTACTTAGTGGACTTTTCCAACAGATACATGAATTGCTGAGCTAAAAGTACCTTGGCCTTGACTTGCATTATGGCAGTTCCACTTCTTTCGACAACCTATCAAAATCCCTGAAGAGGCACGGGCTTGGCATTTGAACCAGTAGTTGGATTACTACTTAAGACACTTGGATTCCATATCAAAGTGCCTGGGTTCAATTTCTGATTCAGATTCTGGAAGGCCACAGGTGATGGCTGGAGTAACTGGTTCCCGCCACTCACAAGGGAGACTTGGACCGAGTTTTTGGCTCCAGGCTTTGATCTTGACCAGCCCACCCAGTCCAACCACTGCATGCATTGGGGACTGAACCAGTGGGTGCTGTGTCCCCACTTCCCCCGCACTGTGTGTGTGTGTGTATGCATGTGCACATGCCTGTCTACTTCCCAAAGGGGAAGGAGCTGGAGAACAGGAAGGGGAGAAAAATCCCACAGGAGGATATTCTCCAAACAGCAGCAATTAAAGAAACCAAAATCTGTGGTAGCAGCAAGCACTTTCAATCTGAACGTGTAACCTGTACTTAGCCTGTATGGCATTTACCAACACTAACTTATAGTTATCCACTGACAACCCCTAAACAGTCTGGCCACACAGTAGCTCTTGGCCAAATGACTGAAGTCTATGCGGTGAAATGCCTACTGTGAACAAAACCAACTCAATTCTAACTGCTCAGGGTGAGCAGGGAGTGGGAGCAGGCCCAGAGACACCTAAGCCAAAAATCACCTAAGCTTTTAGGGAAAGATCTCATCATCCTCATCGGCTCCAATATAAATCTAAACCTTGCCCCCTTTAAGGACTCTTACTCCCTTTAAAAATTTTATTTTCAGCACTCTACTTTTTCCCAAAGCGTTCTTTATAGTATTCCATCGTTCTAATAGAATTTTCTAATAGAATATTATATCTCCTTAGTTTTTCAAAATATCTCTGCATAAGTAGGTGAGCAAGTTTATTCCTACTTTAGAAAGAAGAGATAAAACAAATAACTTGCCAAGCAGCCTGAACTTAACCAGCAGAAGTGGGATCAGAACCTAGGGCCTTTACCTTTCCAAGGTAGATTCAAATGTCTGACTTAGGATTGGCATGTGAGGGTGCAGCAAGTTAAACGCCCACTTTGAGACCCCTGCATCCCGTATCAGAGTACCTGGCGCTGAGTTCTGCCTCCATTTCTGATCCAGCTTCCTGCTGATGCACCTGGGAGGCATCAGATGACGGTCCAAGGGCCTGGGTTTCTACCATTCACAGAGACCAAGCCGTAATTTCTGGTCCCCCTCTCAGCCTGGCCCAACCCCATCTACTGCAGGGATTTGGGGAATGACGCAGTGGGTGGAAGATGTCTGCCTACCCCTCCTTCTGTGTCACTCTGTCTTTCGAAGACATATTTTTTAAATATACGTCTTCCTACAGTAAATCATATTTTCTCTAGGCTTAACCATCCTCTGCTTAATCAGGAATCAAGAAAGAGATTGAATCATCCCTGTTTCTTTCACTAAAGCAAATTAAAAATTAAGGCTTCATGTCAGCAGTTCATGCAACATTTATGTGTGTGTTTTCCCTTTGTGTGTGTATGTGTGTGTGTGTGTGTGTTTTCACTGGGTTTGGAAGGCAGAGAGGGGAGCAGACAGGAAGCCTCCCTCTGCTGGCCTCTCAGGGTCTACAGTAACAGAAAGTTGGACTCTGAAGGGGGCCGGGGACTCAACCCCAGGAACTCTGATACGGGACACAGCACCCCAAGTAACATCCTCACCTCAAATAACCACAGCACCAAACACTCACTCTGGATACGCTTTTTTAGCTCAATGACAATTAACTTTTTTAGCTCAATGACAATTTAAAGCAAGATTACATTCAACCTTCATCAACAATACACAACAGTGCCTATAACAACATTTTGATCGAAACCACAATCTCATTCTCACCAGGAACATTAGAAATCATGCCCTAAGTATGTGATCTGCACACATATGTATATCCAAATATGTAACTGTAGTCCTCATTTAAAAAAAAAAATCCCAAGGGCAAACAGAAGGGAAAATTACACATTCAACTGGAAAATCCCACAGACCAAGATCTTTCAGAAAGACAACACACCTGCAACCGGTGAACCACTCCAGTCCGTAAGTTTCCAAATCCATAGTGGCACTGTGGATTCAAAGGATTTTCTGATATTTCTTCATAGGGAGTCTGTTCAATTTCCCAATCGAACCCTTCATCATCAGCATCATCCTCTTCTACTTCTTCAGAGACTTCTGAAGTTCCTAAATGTGTTAAGTATTAATGGTTTTATAAAAGTATTGGATTTCCTAGGTACGAGGAGGAGAAGAAAAAGCGCAGGGAAAAAGGTGCCTGGTACAAGTGTTCTATAAAACATGAACAAGAATATTCACAACTCCACTATTCAAGAGAACAAAGGCCCGTCAACAGGAAGTATAAATAAATGTGGCATATGCATACCACAGAATATATATAGCAATAAAAACAAACGGGGCTAATCTCATGAAAAGAAACCAGATGCCCCCACAAAAAAGATCCATACTATGTGGATTACACATGCCATTCAAAGCAGGGAGGAAGGAGAGCAACAGTCTCCTGCAAGAGAGGGGGCAGAGCCACCGGGAGACACAGCAGCACGCCAGGGCCCAGGCGATGTTCCATTTCTTCATCTCGGCGCTGTGCACTTTACAAAACTCACAGAACTGAACTCCTATGATCTCAACTCAAGAGGCAAACATTCAACTAAAGAAAGCACGCTGTTTCATTGGGATCCAAAACGTGACTGACCTCCTGGTTCACTTGGGTTTCTTCCGTATTTTAATTGGAGCACCACATGAGCTATTAGAGCACCTGGCTACCTAGTCACAATGCATTTGCTCTAATTCCCTACTTATTATAACCTGTTCTTCCTATAAAACAAAACATCCTAAACATTTCTGTTTATCCTTGTCTCCCCCCCCCCACCTGGAATAAGCATACCGATTTCTTCCACAAGCGGCTTTGCCGTCCTGGATTTTCTGGGCGCCAGGAGAGCAGTTAACATATTCAGCCCCTCAAAATGCTGGCCAGGTGTTTCTTTGGGCAATCGAATGGTAAAAATTCCTAAAAGAGAAATTTGTTTTGTGCTTAGATAAATTAAACATTCAAAGACCTCACCAATATATCTAAGAAATGCACGTATTTGGCAAAACAAAATTCTATTTTCTATAACTCCAAAATTAGGCCCTGATCATAGACTTAGCGTCTATAAATCAAGATGGACAAGGGCTCCACCATGGTCCTTCAGCAAGTGTGACTTCTGGTAGATCCAGTTGGGATACAGAATGCTCAACTCTAACACGGTATCACTCGAACATACTGATACTAAAAATCCAAGGCAAAAGTTCTAAACACCAATGATCTCCAAAGTTTAGAATTATCCCTAAAAATTTGTCTAGACAGACTGAAATTCTACTCCATACTTCTTTTCTTTCCTTCACTGAATTGATCAACTATATATCTAGGCTCCCCTAGGGATTTATCTACTTCTCTTAAGTTTTAAACCATGTTGCTTTTCTCAATGGCTGAACTGCATTGCAACATATCCAATACAACTCAACCCAAACATCTTCCTGAAGTACTGTGTACTTTTAAAATTTAATAACTTTGCTTCGGCACGCAACCTGTCTGAATTAAAAGCAGATTTACTACCAAGAAATGCAATTCCATTCCATTTAACTTGATTACACTACACTGTGTATTAGATCTCTACTGCTTTAATGTTTTCATCCCAACTACCTTTACCCTCATTCACTGTGATCAGTAAACACTCAGGCACATATAAGGCAGTCTTACTCCAGATCCAGTGACAAACAGATCTGACGGCATCTATAAAAATAGAGATGGCTTCACAGCAGGCTGAGTTGAGAGACTCACCCATCTCTTCCCTTTCCAGAAGAACAGGAAAACAGTTTTCACCTGTCACCCAGACTGCTTCTCCCACCTACTGTTGGTGGATGCCAAAGTGAGGCAAGGTGAGGCATGGGCTGCAGCTCTCACCAGGACACATAAGACCAGGGATGGATGTGAGTAGAGCGGGGGAGCCCCGCCACTGCTCCTGCTGGCGAGCATGAGACCAGGGCGCACCAGGATGGGCAGGGCTATAACATCCATTGACCTACATGTGAGCTTAGGTTAGGTGGAGAGCCAGGCCTGGGCTAACTGACTGTATCCACTGGTGTATGCATGAGCCAGAGCAAGTTCAGGCTGGTTGGGCTTTGCTGCAGTATCAGCTAGCAAGTGCTGCGAATGGGTGCAAGTCCTATTGAGCTAGACTGTAGAATCACCTGGAAAGTACATGATGCAGGGCTGGGAGTCAGCCCAGCAGGGAACTGTGGGTACCTCTCTAATGGGCTGCAACTCCCACTGATGAGCTTGAGAACCAGGGCTGAGGGCGAGCCTGGCTAGACACCTGCCAGCATGAGTGTGAGCTGGACAGTGGAGTCAGCTGGGCTGAGCTAGGCTCCAATACTTATTGATGTGTATAAGAGCTAAATGGGATATGGGACAGACTGAATCAGTCTGTTGCACATACCAGCATGCACAGGAATCAGGGCTAGGAACAGGCATGGTGGAGTTACTGGGGCTCACTCTGATTGGGCTGCAGCTCCCACTGCTGTACGTGAGGGCCGAGGGTGTGATTGGCAGGGTTAGGCTGGGCCATAGCATCCACTGGTTTGCGTATGAAATGGGGATGGAAACAGAACTGATCAGTTGACTGCAATCACCAGTGTGTGCGTAGGCTGATGTGGCTGACAGAGAGCCAGACCCAACACTGACTAGCACATACAGTGGTCAGGTCTGGGGTCACCACTGGTGAGGTTTCTTTGGGAACCCCACAACACACACACATAATTGACCCCTGGACTCAGAACTCCAACCACAGTGAAAAGTACAGGACCTGTGGTCTGACCACAGAGTACATTTTTCACATCTGGGTCACCATAGTTGCTGAGGCCTGTGTGGTGGATGGCATACCCAGGATGCTTATGGGGGACATGACAACCAGTTCATTGAGGCCTGCAGAGGACATCCAGTACCATGGAGGACAAAGTAAATCGGACAGCTCTCCCATTATCAGGTGCTTTGCGGGGGAATCCCAGCCTATACAAAACTGTACCACATAATTCAAAATTCAAAATAAAAATATAGGGCCCAGCACAGTGGCGCAAATGGTTAAGGTCTTCGCCTTGCACACCCGGGATCCCATACGGGTGCTGGTCCTATCCCAGCAGCCCCACTTCCCTTTCAGCTCCCTGCCTGTGGCCCGGGAAAGCAGTTGAGGACAGCCCAAAGCTTTGGGACCCTGCACCCGTGTGGGAGACCCGGAAGAGGCTCCTGGCTTCAGATCGGCGTAGCATCGACCATTGCGCTCACTTGGGGAGTGAATCATTGGACAGAAGATCTTCCTCTCTGTCTCTCCTCTCTGTATATCTGCCTTTCCAATAAAAATATAATAAAAATAATCTTTAAAAAAATAAATAAATAAAAATAAAAATATATTAAATTAAAAAAAAAGGAGATTGGAGGTAGTTGTCTCATCCACTTTCCCACATTCCTCGACCCTCCCACCCTAATTGGGAGTCCACACGGGCATGCAGCCCTCTCAACTATGTAAACATAATCAAAAATAAAATGAATTTATTAATTTTTAAAAATCAAGTTTGAAAATTATACAATAAAGGTTGTACTCAAAGCTGTATCCTCCACATTTCTATAATCAACAACTCCAAGCAGTCCAATTACCACTTTCAAAAACACATATTAGACCTGTGGGAAGTTCTTCTACTAAGCAGAACCAGGGGCTTGGCACAACAGCTCAACTGGCTAATCCTATGCCTTGCAACACCAGCATGGGCACCTGTTTGCCTTCCAGCTACTCCACTTCCCATCCAGCTCCCTGCTTGTGGCCTGGGAAAGCAGTGGAGGACGGCCCAAAGCCTTGGGAGCCTGCACCCACATGAGAGACCCAGACAAGGCTCCTGGCTCCTGGCTCCTGGCTCTTAGCTTTGGATGGGTTCAACTCCAGCCACTGCAGCCAAGTGGGGAGTGAACCAGTGGATGGACGATTTTTTTCTTTGTCTTTCCTTCTCTCTGTGAATCTACCTTGCCAAGAAAAATAAACCTTTTAAAAAAGGAAACCACAGAACCACAGACTCACTTCGGAGAATAGTTTTGAAACACTTTAAACAACTGAGGAAGCTAACCATCCAAAAAACTGACTACTGACAGAAACAAGACACAGAAAGCAGGAGCAGACTACACCTGCAGGGCCGCTGACTGTGCTGACACTCTAACACAGAGCATCCAAAGAGAAAATGAAGTTGCAAAGGCAATACCTTTATCAGCGTCGTAGGAACCCTGCTCACTTCCATTCTCAACAATTCTTCCCGGAAGGGTCAACCTGAAGATTGAACACAGGTCTCATGAAATCCTTCCAAATGGAATTGAAACCATCGCTCACCGTTCAGGCTTATCCATCAGAATTCATCAACTGTTAAACTCGCCAGCATTTCTTTCACAGTTTACAAACTAAATCTTGGTTCCCTCCTCAACTAAGTACAAACTGGAGATGACTGATCTTACTATTTGAAAAGTAAAGATACTGAAGAAGAAAACTGCAATAAATTGGTTATCACAATTGTTATAACACTTCCCCCTTTTCAATGTGTAATGAAAATTTTTCTTATATACATGGTGCCTCATACAGTAAAGGCTCAATGAAAGGATACTACCTGAGCCAGTGCGATGGCTCAACTGGCTAACCTTGTTCCAGTAAGTGCTGAGATCTCATGTGGGCATCAGTCCGTGTCCTGGTTGCTCCACTTCCCATCTAATTCCCTACTTATGGCCTGGGAAAGCAGTGGAGGATGGCCCAAAACCTCCACGATGAACTTCTATTTGCTGGTTCACTCCCCAAGTGGCCACAACGCCCAGAATTGAATCATTCTGAAGCCAGGAGCCAGAAGCTTCTCCTGAGTCTCCCACATGGGTGCAGGCTCCCAAGGCTTGGGCCATACTCTACTGTTTTCCCAGGCCACAGGCAGGGAGCTGGATGGGAAATGGAGCTGCCAGGACTCAAACTTCTGCCTCTACAGGATGCTGGTGTTTGCAGGTGAATAATTACACTGCTGACCCACCACACCAGCTGGATTATCACTTTTCCACTCAAAAAATCTATACCTGTCTGATGTCAATGAAGCAAATGCATCAGCTGAACACGCCAGGCCCACCCCACACCATTCCTAACACAAAATGTCTGCCTCCCTTCCTGCTTCCCCATACTTCCTATAATTACAAAATGAAAACCAGCAACGCTGGGCAGCCCCCCAAAGGCCCAAGGCGTCATTCCTAGTTTCTCAGTCCCTAGTCTAAGCAGCTACACAACCCAGGAGAAGGAATCCACGTGCAGAAAAAACAGTGTCTCACAGTTCTAAACACTACCTACCATCAGCATCTCTACCGAAGCCCAGCTCCGCATGCTCCAGCTGGGCAAGAGTCTCCACTCACTTTAACTTCACAAATCACACGATAAAAAGGGAAAAGTTACAGCTTCTATCAGTTGAGAGAAGTCGTTCCTTCTTCTCAACTTGTTATAGGAACACAGGAGCGAAATTCTGTTGAGTTACAGATCTGCTTCACAGGCCAACGTCTCAAATCCTCAGCCAAGGGGAGCCAGGTTCTATTCATCTCTGTCACACTGTGACAATTGGGAATGTCACAGCTTGCCCAGTTGGCCGGCACCACTCCTCTCTACCAGAACCTCTACGTCCCATGGGCTTACAATTCACAGGTTCCTTGGACTGTGTGGATCAACACAATAAAGCAGACACCATTACAGACTTGGCTAAGTTAAACTAAAAGCTGACCTAGATTCTGCCTTATTGGCTGCAATACTTGATCTTGAAAACTTGAGTGGCTGTGTTAGGAGTCCAGCTCCCATAAAGGAAACAGGAGCTAGACATGTACAGAGATCACACCGGGATGCCCCAAGACCACAGCGAGAAAGATGGCCCACTGGCTTCCAGTCACTTTATATTCCAGGCCCAATCACAATCTGACCCTGTGGCACTAGAGACCTCAAGCCAGAACCCTACCAAATCCCCACAAAGTCCTTACAGGTGAGTGAAATGACTGCAGTTGTCTCACGCCACCAAGCCTCACTGGTTACACAGTGACAGGGGAGTGGCACAGGGGGCCCTCAATAATAGTCACAGGAGCCCCCTTTATCTGTGGTGCCTTTTCCCACAGCTTCAGTTACCCCAGCCTACTGCAGGCTAAAGCTACAGAGCAGTACAGCTGCAGAGAGGCCACATTCACCTTTTCTTTTTAAATTTATTTCTGAAAGTCTGTTACATAGGTGAGGGGATTGCAGACCCATGAAGGTCTCTGGATGGGATGAGAAGGAGCAACAAGGTGGCTGAGGGAAAACACCCCGCCCTTTGCGACCTCAGGGAGGGGAACATGTTGTGCCATTCCTTGCTGCCAGATCCTGTCAGCCTCAGGAGACAGAAACGGTCCCCTGATGGGGGAAGAAAGTCCTGAGGGCATCGCTTGAGTCCTAATTGTTCTGAGATGGTGTTCGTTTCACGATACCAGGAGTAGGACATCACTTCCCCTACTTTCTGGCTGGCTGTTTCAGCCTGTCCACAGCCTTAGATGCTTGGTAGAGAACTTGGCCTGTGGTGTTGTCCAAGCTGCTCTTCTTTCCACCTTCCAGTGAGGCACTCAAGGTCCTTTGATGTCCTTCCCAGCAGGTTGAGTTTCCCTACAGAGTCAGCAATGGAGACAACCCAATCCCACAGCACGTGCTCAAGGCCAGATCAGATGCCCATATGGTGTTCCTACGAGTTGGTGGAGTAGACCCACTGGGCCAACTCCTAAGGGCCCCACTACTGAGTTGTTGGTCTCCAGAGTAGGCTTGTTCATGCACCATGGGGTGATGTAGCCCAGCCCCGCCTGGCCCACTCCCAGACTGGGAGGAAAACACAGCTACCACACCTGGCGAGACGGCCACAGGCGGCAGGGAGTGCTGAGGAGCCAGGGAAGGGATGCAGGCCGAGCTGGGGAGAATGGCAGGGACCCCAGGGAAGGGATGCAGGCCGAGCTGGGGAGAATGGCAGGACCCCGAGCCCAGGGAGTGCGGAGGGATTAGGAAAGAGACTCTAGCCGAGCTGGGGAGAATGGCAAAGACCCCAAGCCCAGGGAGTGTGGAGGGGCCAGAGAAGGGATGATGCCGGGCTGGGGTGAACGGGAAGGACCCCAGGGACGCGATGCAAGCCGGGCTGGGGGAGAATGGAAGGAGCCCGGGGCCGGGGAGCGCGGAGGGGCCAGGGAAGGACGCAAGCCAGGCTGGGGAAAATGGAAGGAGCCCACAGAGGGGATGACCCGGGGGCCGGGGAGAGCCAACGCCGAGCCGAGGGAGGCAGCGCAGCAAGTCCGGCAGGAGCAGTCAGGAGCCCCGGCCCCAAGCCCCACGCTCGCAGGGGAGCCTCGGATGGCTCAAGGACGAGGGGCCCCGCAGCGCGCACCCCACCTCGCCCCCATCCCCGCGGTGCCCCGGCACCCGGACCTGAGAAAGTACGGCTTGGCGTAGAACTTGAAGTCCGACCCCTCGAAGTACACGTCGAACTCGGAGACTCGCGTGTACGGCACGCGGATGGCGACGGTCAGGAAGTCCGGGTCCTGGCTGAGCTCGAACGCGGGCGTGAGCATGTCCCCCGCGCCCACGGCGGCCGCGACGCCGCCACCCAAACTCCGCCAAGTGCCGCACGCCTGGGGTCCCGCCGGGGAGCCAGCGCTTCCGGCAGGAGGCGGAAGTGCGCGTGCGTGCGGCGGCAAGTCCCGCCCCGCGTCCATCTCCATGGAGACGGGACGCGCTCCGTGCAGTGGCGGCGCTTTCGAACGTTCTGAGAAGACCGAGGGCGCCAGAGCCTCCTCTGAGGGGAAGAAATCCAGGAATCCACCTCAGCTCGATACTGACCGTGAGTCGCCGCCAACTCAAAATTAACACAGCCCTTTAAAAGTCCCTGGAGAGAAGCCTTGGGTTCAATTATTCCAAATTAGCTTCTCTAGGAAAAAAATCTTTACATCTGCCAAGGGACCTTATTCCTGTAGGTCACCAGCATTAAGATTTTTTTGAATTATTAATGTGGGGGAATTAACCACTCCCTAATTAAAAGCGCTTTCAACAGCTGGAGCGGCGCGAGTCCTGAGCACTTTATTACGTGTTGGTGATACTCACGCACGGGCACAGGGCTGCGACACGGAAAACAGGTGCAGGGGTGCCGCGGTTGGCTCCTAAGAAACATGAGTTACACAAAATACTGAGCGCCGCACCCGCGTCGTGGGGCGCTGTTGGTTTAGTGGAGGATGCTTGAGTTTATTGTTGATTTGGGATGTGACATTGCCTTTGTTTCTGCATTTTTAATTAGCAGTGAATCACTCAAGTTATAATCTCCTTTTTAAAATGCAGCCCCTTCCCTCGGGCTGCAAGCAGCTTTGCTTTTCTTTAGTGCTTCTGCAGCGGGAACCCTCCCGTGGACGCTTGGCAGGCCTCTTTCTGTTGCCCCACACGTCCCCATGTTCCCTGCGGCTTCACGTTAAGACCCACTTTAGGCGGCTGCTTTATCCCACCCTGAAAGTAATTCTGCAATGTTCTTTTCCATTGTGAGTTTTCGAGGCATAACGCTATGGATTCTAGAGTGAACTGAATTCCCATTTCTGGATACAGATGTTGCTTGAAAGTATTATGACATTTCGTGTTAACTCTGGTTAAGAGGGGAAGGGGTAGTGAAATTTTTCATCATTTGTTGAGTCGTGCACAAGTTGTACTGTTTATTTTTTGTTTCGTTTTCCTCTCTAAGTGTTACTTTTGGGTGGCCTTTTGCTATTTCAAAAATATTTTTTCCGGGACCACCTAATTAAAGACAAGTAAAGAACCTGTAATCTTTGATGACATTTAGTTAGCCCCACTTCTGGTCTAACAAGCCCACCTGTCATCTGTAAGGTTCACAACTAAATGTTAAATTGTAACGCAACTGAGATCAACAAATCCAAGTTCAGCCTGATTACCGTTCCCTGGGTGCTGCACTACTCCTCGTTTCCAGCAGGTGGCAGTGTCTAGGGGGAACAAACCAGTTTTACCACGTGGAACAATTTCAAACTGAGTTGTAACCTGGAAAATAGTTTTCTGAAGAAGCCCTTCTCGTTCTTTCTGTAAGTGACTTTTAGGAGGTGGTCAAAGAATTTGTAAGTTACACCTGAGCCATTGTGATCATGTGCGTATGCATTTTTTCAGACTGAAAGCCATCGGAAGCAGAGGAAGGTTTTAGAAATGGTACACTCCATATTTATTCCCGTATGGCATTGAAAGATTTCCATATGAGCCCTTTATTTTGTCAAGAATATACTTACCCATAATTACACTTTTTATATTTATTGGTATCTGCATTTTGACTCTTAAGACAGAAAGCAATGAAGTGATGACTTGTTTTGAGAGAAAGAAAATGAAAGTAGAACTGAGTCACAAGCACAGATCACAAAACTAGAATAAAACTAGAAACGATAGACTGAAAACTAGATAACACATTTGCAAATTTGGGAAAAAGGTGTGTGTGTGTGTAATAGTAAATACAATGACAGTAGCTACCCTGAGTTCGTGCCGTTCTAAGCTGTCCACTGTTCCTAAGTGGGCTTAGAACTTATGAACTCACGGATAACTGAGAGGTGATTGCAAATCTGAGAGACAGTCCCACCAGGCAGGCCAACAGCCTGAAGCTAATGATATCGCCACTGTTCTTCAAACTCCTTCAAATAGAGCCGTTTTCTGAAAATTGCATGGATTGATTTTGAAAGTCAGAGAGTTCTGATCTGTAACATCAGGGGCTGGGGCCTAAGGGAGCCTGGAGCCGGAAATTCAATCCCGGCCTCCCAGGTGGGAGTATGAGACCCAGCCAACTTGAGCCATCGCCTGCTGTCTCTCCGAACCTCCGTCACTCAGGGTCTGCATTAGCAGGAAGCTGCGGTCAGGAACGGAGCTGGGACTCAAACCCACAGACTCTGAATCCCAGCTGGTGACTTCACCACGAGGCAAAGGCCAGCCCCGAAGTACAGCTGTTCCTTACATGAACCCTTCTGCCCATCCAAGTGATACCTGTCAGAATGAGACTCACACAGCACAGTAGTCAGTATTTCAGGGAGAACTTAGTCCAATTCCCAATTAACATAAACTCAACAAGACTCTGAGAAAATCGTAAGTGGCTGCAAGTGACTACCAGCACATGCTATGCCATGCTCCTACAGACAGGTTTAGCAGCACATGGTTCAACATGCTGGTGCCAATCATGAAAGGCAGATCAGATCACACAGCAAGGCTCCTGGCACCGTGAGCTTCCTTCTTGGTTTAAGGTCCTGTTTCTAAGGACATCTAGAGCAGGTGCTGGAGGCAGGGAGTGGGGCTGTCATTGGCAGTGAGTGCTGTGTGTGCCTTCTCACCAATGGAGCTCTCAACCCCATTCTCAGCTCCCCTGGTGTGACCGCCACAGCGATCTCCGGCCTTTGCCAAGTGTCCCCTGCCCTGCATAGATAGGACCCTCCAGGGTGTGGTCACCACCACCAGCACCACCTCAGGCTCACACATAACCACGAGGAGTGACATGGCTGCAGAAGATCCTCCTTCAGGGAGAAGGGGGACCCTGCGATGGGACTCCTGGGGTCGAGACAAAGCCAGATCCCACCCCCACAAGCAGGCATCCTTGCTAGCCCTCCTCCCTTTGAGCCTCTCACCGTGACTTCCTCCCTCCTAGGTTGCTCCAGAGACATTGCCCTTGCGAAATGATGGCCCTCAGACTTCTGGCCCAGGCTTTGCTACGAGTCCTGGCCTGGGACTGCTACATCATGCCGAACTTCCTACCACTGTCTAAACCCCCTGCAGAACTCCTGGGGCAGAGCTCTGCAGTGCCCACAGAGTGCCCACCTCATTCGAGTGGTTGATCTCCCTATGATCTAAATAACAAAGCATCAGTGTCCAGTATCAAAGTAGCTGGGCTGGATGCTGCGCTCCGGCCCTCCACTCCAGCTTTCTGCTAATGACCCTGGGAGGCAGCAGTGATGGTACAGGTAATCGGGATCCTGCACCTTAACCGGAGTTCCCAGCTCCCAGCTCTGGCCCAAGCATGGTCCCCTACCGTTGCAAACACTTAGGGTGTAAGCCAGCAGATGGGAGAATTTGTTCACATGCTCTCTCCTTTCCTCCACCCCTTCATGCCTCTTTCTTTCTCAAATAAATTAAAAGTTTGAGAAAGGGGCCAGTGCCCAGACATAATAGGTTTAGCCTCCTACTGCAGTGCCAGCATCTCGTATGGGTGATGCTGGTTTGTGCCCCATCTGCTGCACTTCTAACCCAGCTCCCTGCGTATGGCTTCGGGAAGCGATGGAGGATGGCTCGTGTCCTTGTGCACCTGACCCCATGTGGGAGACTCAGAGGGAGCTGCCGCCTCCTGGCTTTTGATCACCTCAGCTCTGGCCATTGCAGCCATTTGGGAGTGAATGAAGGGAACATTTTCTCTCTCTCTCTCTTTCTCTCTCTCTCTCTCTTTGTAACTCTACCATTCAAATAAAAACAAAATATTTATAAAACATTGAGAAAATAATTAAAATGGGGACACTCTCCTGGCATAGCTACACAGCAAGAAAGAATGAACTTCTCAGGCATCCGTATCCATTAGTCCACAGATTCAGATGAGGATGGAAAATATTTGGGAAAAGAAAATGTGTGGAGGGGAGGACTGGTGCTATGATGCTGCTCGTGACCCAGGCACCTCATTTTGGCGTATCTGATTCAAGGCATGGTGTGTCTGCTTCCGACCCAGCTACCCGCTGCTGTGCCTGGGAAGGCAGCAGAAAACGGCCCAAGCACGTGGGCTCCTGCCATCCGTGCAGGAGACCTAGACAGAGCTCCTGGCTCCTGGCTTCTGCTTGGACCAGATCGGGTTACCATAGACAATTGAAGAGTGAGCCAACAAATGAAAAATCTCTATCTATCTATCTATCTATCTATCTATCTATCTATCTTTCCATTTCTGCCATTCTCTTTCAAACAAATAAATGATAAACAAGTATTCATAATGCACATGTACAGACTTGTTTCCTAGACACAGCATATAACAGCTATTTACATAGCATTTGCATCCTATTAGGTATGATAATCTAGAGATGATTTAGAGTATGCACGAGGATGTGCTTATGTTTACATGCAAATACTCTGGCATTTTACATAAAGGAATTACATAGTTATAGCTGTAGGCTTGGGTACTGGCAGGAGAGCCTGGAACCACTCTCCTGGTTCCAATACACAAAGCACACAAGTCTTGAGGGCGTGTTCTATCAAAAAAGCCAGATACTAGATATTTCCATGTATCTGAAACTCAGAAACAGTCCAGACAAGTGAATGAGCACCATGATTATCTAGTTATTGACCAGCAGAACAAAGGCAACCTGCTGGAGTGCTGAGAAATTAGTCCCTATCTTGTTTAGAGTGGGAGCCATGTGGATACAGTCCAATGGGAGCTTCATAAAGTGTAGGGGTTCTACACTTGACCACAGGTAACAGCTCGGTGAGAAAGGGAACATGCAGTCACTCGGACACTGATCTGGCTCTGGGTGCTGGGTCCGTGGGCTGCTGCCAGCTGCTGCGGCAGAGTTCATCCCAGATCCTGGCCTCTGGCTGCAGACAAGCGCTGTGTCTGAAGTTATGTCTCTCAGACTGCCAATGAAGTCC